TTATTGAATTTCATTAGTCCCAGTTATAATTTATGCGCAGTTGTTCACGGAAAAGTCAGCAAGACACGACAGTTACAATATATTATGATTGTTAAAAAAGAAAAAAGACATCTAACCATCATAACCAAATTAGGCTACATTTATTGTCATATTAAATATCTCAATACACATCATTAGATATGACATTAAGCACAACTTGTGTAGATTTATTTAGTAAAAAGGCTTGACTGCTTCATTTTGGCGTATATTTGTATACTTTTACCATTTAATCAATCTCAGCATGCGTTAATTTTGTGTCGCTAGACGTTTGCCTCACTAAGACTAAATTATGCCTAAGTCTTTCTTTGGCTGCACTCTGGAAGTGATCTGTTAATTCTGCTAACCTTTAATTAAAACTGAAACTAAAACTGAAACTAAACTATATAAAAACTAAATAAAAATGTGTTCACAAAATAAAAACTAAACTAAAACTAATAACAATATTAATTAAACTAATAAAAACTAAACTGAATTTTATAGCAAATTTGAAAACGATATTAAAATAAAACTAATTTAAAAATTCAAAACTATAATAACCTTGCAGACATCTGTTGTGGGCGTTTTTTTTTAAATAGTGTTCATATCGATATCGGAATTATATCGTATCGACCGAAATTAAGAAATATATTTCGCGATATAAATTTTGGCGATATTGTCCAGCCCTACATCCTCATTAGCAACTTTTCATAAAACCATGTCTCACTTTCAGGTGCTATATTGGGGAGCTGACCTTGAGCAAATAAAAACCAAAAAGTTGAGCTTTGTTCTCGAGACTCTAGGCATTTTGAAACTTTGTCAGGCGTCTCAATGTCAGTTTGAATGCTATCGTAGAGTTTTAGACTCCTCAAGCCACAGCTGAAATCTGCTGGCTGGAAAATGGCTGTTTGTTAACGGGGTGCGACTGCACTGCGCCAATTTTGACTGACTTGATTTGATCATTTGCCAACTGTGCAATAGAAGAAAAGGAGAGACAGAAAGCAGCCAACAGGTTTTTATATTAATAAATATTTCTACAGCTCTTGCAGAGTGCTTTCATACCCTCTTTTTTCCTTCCTCCTATAACTTACTGTATAGAAGTCACTTGAATTGAATTTTGTAGAGAACTCCAGCCTTAGATGTGCTCTCAGTTTTTGGATTTTATTATCTTTATACCCATTTTTGAAGTTGAATCTACCACTGCCATAAGAAATTAAGTACCAGCAATGATGTCATACTTATATTTGCATAATGAATTGTGATTGGTCTTCATCAAACATTAAGTTCATTCATGAAATTGTAATTGCAATTTGAGGGACTCAATCAATCAATCAATCAATCAATCAATCAATCAATCAATCAATCAATCAATCAATCCCTCAATCAATCCCTATACCTATACCTATATTTCAGTTTATAGCTTTCAAACTATTATTTTACCTAAAATAATAATTTGGTCATAGGAAAATAATAAAGTCATAGGAAATCATCCACTGAAGTTTGAAACTCAAAGTATTAGTAAGTGGGGTACAAGCAATAAATCAATTATTTAAATAAAGAAAAGTATTTACGTTAATTATTAGTACTAAATATTTATATTAGCAATAATTATTAATATTAAATAAAATACTTCACTTAAAAAATTATATATTATACATCATTGCACAGTGTAAATATGTGTTAGATTATATAAATATAAATTAGATTGATTCATGGAATCTGAATTGTAATTTGAAGCTCTCAATCAATCAATCAATCAATCAATCAATCAATCAAATCCATCCCTGTCTGTACTTAAATTTCTGTTTACAACTTTTCAAACTATTATTTTACCTAAAAACATAAATAAAAAATATACTGTTAAAAAATAGCATATATTTTACATAAGTATGAATATATATGAGATTATATAACTATAAATATAAATTAGATTTCCTTTTAATTAAAATATACATTTAAAACATATGCTTAATTATCATCATCATCATTTTAAAATATTATTATTATATTTTTTTTTAAGATTTATTTTTGGCGTTTTATGCCTTTTATTTAGATAGGACAGTAGGTCGACAGGAAGCAAAGTGGGTGAGAGAGAGAGGGGGGTGGGATTGGGAAAGGTCCACGAGCCGGGACTCGAACTCGAGACGGCGTGCTGCCCACGAGGCCATTGGCGCCGACTTAAAAATATAATTTGTTATTATTATGAAATGTAAATGTTGAACTATTATGAAAGATGTGAGTGAATGAATGAATCCATCCATCAATGAATAGGCTTCCATTATATCGTGGATATAATAACCGGATATATATATATATATATATAGCCGGATATGTGATATCAATCAAACAATCAGAATAAGGTCACTCATGCCTTTCCTGGACTCTGAACTCTATAATGTCAACACATTCAGCCTCAGAGTAGATAAAATGACAAAGACTTTATAAAATGCAACAGAGTCAATGTGCAGTTCAGAGGTGGCTAAGCTACATTTGACATGCAGTTCGCAAACAGCCCTGCAAGAGATCAAAACTGAAAAGCTGTTTTAGCAGAAGTTTTATATGCTGTCAAGACATTCAAAGACTTTTGGGGCCCTCATATTCTTACATGCAAATTTAAATTGGTATACAGCCATTTCGGAGCCATTTTCCACAGTGAAAATGGTCGCATAGTGAACCATGTTTCAGTGCGAGTACAACTGAGGTCTCCAGTCGAAGATATAGAGCTTAATTAGTAACACAGACTTTAATGAAAATAATACAGCAGTAATGAGTACAAGTGCCACAACTCAACACTGGAAACTTATACATTATGCATTTGAATTTTTAATAGAAGTGCTCAGGCAGGATTATATAATGTCTTAAATTCAGTTCCTTAAGAGTGTAAATAGCTTTAGTTTGAGTCATGTAGCAGACGGGCACTTTAGCTTTAGTCGACTTTTAGCTACAGACAAAAAAACCCCACTTAATTTACCTGTTTAATTCTATTTTAGCTCGATTCAAAGGAAATAAGAGACATAACTGCCCTTGTTCTATTTTGTTTATCTAAGCAAGCCAATGCTCTCAATTTTCCTTTTAAAGCACAATAACATCTTGAGTGTGAGAAAATAAAAGGACTGTGATATGTGAGAGCTCAGAGACGAGAAAGCCAGAAGAGACAGAGCATAATTTCCAACAGTCTGCTGATGCTGCCGTACCATTAGGCAGAGGCAACAATTTTGAAAAGGAATAAAGTCCCTGAGGTTCATTATAAACTCTCAAAGGTCACAGCAAGACTGCAGCAAGCAGAGGAAATTACCATCACAGATCCCAATTAAAACAGACCGTATAGATTTTATCTGTACAACTAAGCCAGGTGAGTGTTACACTGTAACATTTTTGCTCCAGGGCTGCCATGAGACCCTGTCACGCTGTATCCTTCCACACTCACACTGCATTCCCTTCACACTCACACATATATTCAGTTACGGATTCTGATTGGATCGCTGCCATTCTAAGGTGTCAATTTTCAGCTCCACATCACTTCACACTCTCTGAAATCAAGCAAATCCAATCTCTATTTTTTTTCAAACACACATAAACTTATAGTCAATGCTACAATTGCGATCCAATCAATAAAACAATTTTGCTGCTAAAAAGCTGCATTACTTAAAAATGTCAATTTGCACAGATGCCTCTTGTTCAACACTGCTGAGAGCCATGTCAGGTGATCACACACAAAAACATTTTTAGAAAAACCTGGAAAAAAACCTTGACATCAAAACATGTTTATTTAATTATTTATTCCTATTTAAAAAAAATATTTGCATGAATAATTAACATAAATGTTAAATTACTGTTTGAAAATTATATTATATTAATATATATATATTTTTTTTAATATTAATATTA